GGAGATTGAGGTCAGGAGGTCACGGGACAAGTTTCTCCATTGTGGGTGTGTTCAACAGAAAGACCGGGATTATGTTGCATCTTAGATGTTTGAATACATTACTGGATGTTAAGTTGTCACAACAGTTATGCCTGCTTCAAAATACTTGTACTCTACTGAAGAATCTAGTTAATCCACTGTTGTCATTCTTCTTTTGGGGCTTAAATGTACCCACCACTTTTCAGTATCTACACTGTTGTGCAGATGCACATTAATCATTTCGTAATGATTTGTGTGTGTGTGTGTGTGTGTGTATATATATATATATATATATATATATATATATATATATATATATATATATATATATATATATATATATATATATAAAGTTTAAAATAATTAGCTGAAATATACAATTATCTGTCACGTGATGTATGCTTCGCATTCCAGCATTTTTTTTTTTTTTTTTTGGTCATTATGGCTTCAAAATTCGAACAACTTGGAGTCCAGACGAAATGTTCAAGTAACTTTTGCCTCGAAAATTCGAACGCCTTCTTAGAAACCGAACACCTAGCACGTGACTAAGCTGACAAGACAAGCGCTCCAGTGCCTCCAGAGCAGCAGAAGGGAGAAATTTCAGAAGAAATTTGTTTTATGAGAGGAAGAGAGGACGATGGAAGTATTAGCACTTCTGAAATCCAAGATCGTTTGACCACGTGGTCGAAAACCCAAACAGTTGATGAGAGGTGACACTCTGATAGAGCTAAGGTTAACAAGTACGATAATCTATTCAGTAATAACAAGATGTTATAAAATTTAAGAATGGTGTCCAATACCAGAGCACTTTAGAACGATCCCTCTCAAATACCTAATTACCATAAACCCCATTCAAATCGTGAAAGAATACGATGTGAAACAGATAGAAGGAGACTAACTTTCCAAACAATAATCTCCCTAAACACCCTCTTCCCTTCGCCTTTCTCCTCCTTATGCTGTAACCTCTATCACTGAGGCTTAAGATACAATTGTAAGTAAACCTGGCTTTAAAAAAGTTTTTGGATTTACAATTCAATCCAACCTCTATGAACTGTGTCACCTTTTTTTTTTTTATTAAGGTGAAGTAATTACACTGTGTAATTTTAAAATATTTATCTTCCTCTTCTGCTTTCATCCAAAGATGTAAACGCGTTGTGTCCGTTCACAGTATGGCTGCCATATTTGCGTCTTTCGACAGACAAAACCTGCTTCTGATAGGGTTAGCCATCCTGGATTTGTTTGTTTGTTTGTGTTTTTTTTTTTCTTTAGTTTAAAAATGTTAGAGATTAGAACAGATTAATTTAGTTTCCATTATTGTCATTATGAAAAAATATATTGGAACTCGCTCGAATGATGACAAATTCAATTGCAGTCTCGGAAAAAATTATATTCAAATTCCGACGTACTACTGAAATGTGTAAGAAAAGTATCGGTTTTGGATATTTTAGTTTCAAAAATTCATGTTTTACGCTGCACGTTGATTTAAACTCTGTACCAACACACCTGACCAGATAATAAAATTTGGCAGACACTAAATTGTGCAGTTTTGTGTGTATGTTTTTTTTTTTTTTTTTTTCATGTGCAAAGCAGCACCGAAAAGCTCACAGAATTTGTGTATCGTGTAGAAATATGTACCAATGCAAATATTTACACTATATTTCCTTTACAATAGCTTTTTCCATCTACTGAACACTTCTTCCACAGCTCATACAGTTGTTGGACACATTCTTGTAACGCATTCTTTGACAGCTTTTTCATCTTCTTTGTCGATAGCATCCTCGTCAAACTGAATCGCCTCCTTTTCAGTAAAGCAGCCAGAAAGGAAAATTTAGCCTGTGTCACGCTGGGAAATTATGGAGGATGTTCCGGAGCAGTTACATTAGCGTTGCAAGCGACTGCTTCACCTTTAAGGATCAATTTGATGGAGTATTGTAGTACAGAAGAAACCAACCGCTTGTTAACCATTTTTCAAGCCTTTTCTTACCACTGCAACCCTTTGATGACGAAGGAAATACTTGTAATAAAACAAAAATATGGATTCCCTCTTTGTGGCGCCAAAGGCTTTATTAAACAAACAAATTGTCTTTGGCGTGAATAACGGTGTATTCAGCATTATTACTAAGAGTGGTTCCAATGTTTGTAGTCCAAGTCCATTTAAAAAAAAAAAACTCAGGTCTACCTCCCCGTTTTCCGCAAAAAAACAGAGCTCAGCGTAACCTGGCCCTTGAAGTCCGAGTATCGTCATCATCTTCATGTGCCAGGCTAAAAGCATAGGCGGACATTCTTCACTTTTCTACAGGAGTCTATTCCTTAAAATTTACCTTTTGTAATCAAACATAACGATTTTCCTTGACTTACAACATGACTGGTCTGTAATTTTGGAAGTCTTTTCTCTCTTTCAACTTCACAGATTATTTTAATTGTATCTTTGGCCTTTTAAAGCTCTGGGACAGATAGGCTGCATGTTTCCTGTAGCCTCCGTAAGCTCCGCCTTTTCATTGACTGCATGTTTCCTGTAGCCTCCGTAAGCTCCGCCTTTTCATTGACTGCATGTTTCCTGTAGCCTCCATACGCTCTACCTTTCCATTGGCTGCATGTTACCTGTAGCCTCCATGAGCTCGGTCTTTCCATTGGCTGCATGTTTCCTGTAGCCTCCATGAGCTCGGTCTTTCCATTGGCTGCATGTTTCCTGTAGCCTCCATGAGCTCGGTCTTTCCATTGGCTGCATGTTTCCTGTAGCCTCTATAAGCTCCGCCTTTCCATTGGCTGCATGTTTCCTGTAGCCTCCATAAGCTCCGCCTTTCCATTGGCTGCATGTTTCCTGTAGCCTCCACAATCTCCGCCTTTCCATTGGCTGCACGTTTCCTGAAGGCTCCCTAAGCTCCGCCTTTCCATTGGCTGCATATTTCCTGTAGCCTCCCTAAGCTCCGCCTTTCCATTTCACTGCTTGACTAGTTCTGGTCTTGTCGACATTATTTTGATGCTGTCCTGTTTAGAGCTCAAGATCGCTTGGAGAACTGATTTTGCATTGGCGAATACACCACATTTTTTCTTTTTCGTAGTCAAACTAAAGTAACTGGAGTCTGGTCAGTTCAAAGGAGGATGGCGGACTCGCTCTTAAGTTTCTGCCAGCTTCCTATGCCGATATTGAGTATGTTTTGTCTTGCAATGTGTGTGTGAGAAAGAGAGAGAGAGAGAGAGAGAGAGAGAGAGAGAGAGAGAGAGAGTATGAGTGTGTGTTTTTCTATGTCAGAGTGTGTGTGAGTGTGTGTACGTGCTTGCGTGTGTGAGTGTGTTTGTGTGTGTGTCTGAGTGTGTGTGTCTGTGTTTGCGCGCATGCATGAGTGTGTGGGTGTGTGCGCGCGTGTGTGTATGTGTGCGGACGTGCGTGTGTGTGTGTATGTGCTCGCGTGTAATGAAGATTCACCTGCCTCCTGTTTGTGGCTTCTTTACGAAAACAGTCTGTAACTATACGTGTCAGTATATTGGAGGGGTACTGATTTCTGAGTATATAACATGAAAAAAGCTCTTTGTTCTAACACTGTTTTTTTTTTTCGAGATTATTCCCGGGACTCCCAGAACAGAACTGAATAAGAATCAACAGCTCATCCGAAGCTCTCGTGAAAGAGCCTCACACATCATTATGTCAGTTTTATATTTGCATGTTGTGTCAGAGTTTCTCTTGTAAAATGATTCTTGTTTGCTAGTCAGTTTCTTCTTCTTGAAATCTATGGTTCAGCCCCGACTGGCTCCAGCTGACAGGCCGTGCTGCTGACGTCATTGGGTCGGGCTAACGGTGCGTTAAAGCAGCATTTCTCAAACTGGGTGCCGAGGCTCCCTGGAATGCCGTGAGCGTGTGCCTGTGGCGCCGCGGCAAGAATCAAGAAAGGTCGGCTTAAAATTGTGAAATTATCAAAGAAGGTATGTAGATACTTAAAAGTTAAAATTTAAGTTGTCTTTCCCCGCTACTGTTGAAATTAGTTTATTTCTCGTTTGAGAACCCCTGCATTAACGCATTGTTAGCCCGACCCGGTGACGTCAGCAGCACGGTAAGCTTATATTTTAAACCACGTATGTTTCACCATTTCTTTTTCGCGGTTTAGCCCTTGAGATTGAGACGAGCATTTATGATTGTCTCCTGGTTTACCGCCATGGCGCATTCCGTTTTTTAATTTCATTAAAGCGAGTCCGTGTGTGCCTTTTGATCGGATTTGATTTTCTTCCTCTAAGTTTCGCTTCTGAGTGAACATGGTGTCTTGAATGAATCCTCACAAAAATGGGTAGATCTGAGTTAGGAGTTATGATCTGGGTTATTTTCACGGCACTCCAGACGTGTCCACTGGTGCTCATATTTCCCCTCCACCACAGACATCAGCCTCCTGCTGTTGACAGTCACAATCCTATGTTGGTTGACAAGATTTCTCGTGCGTCTGGTGTGCTTCTCGTGCATGGCTCTGCCGATTTTTACTCCAAATTCTTGCACTCTTAGCAAAGATGTGGATGTGCTGCTCCCAAAATCCCCCGAACTTCCTACCTCTCTAATGGCATTAACATTGTCTGCATGTACAGTGGGCCGGCGGTCTGTATCTAAGGCAGAGCTGGATAATCTGTCAGCTCTTTCATTACCTATAACACCGCCATACCCTGAGACAACATTAAAGGTAACTCCAAGCACAGTGGAGTTTTGCAATGACTCGATGGTGGGTAGATCAATGATACTTGTTGATTTTTTAACGTTAAGAATATTATTTTATTGTCTGAACGACAGAAAATATATAGTTCCAGTGAGTTTTCTTTGTTTTAGTTTTAGACCTATATGACAGCATATCATGGGTTTCTGTCTAGGGTATTCATGTATGCGAGGTAACGAGCAAGCAGATAGATTGGCTGCTGTCGTTTCACTAGGCAGTGAGCCACCTTAAGATAAAGCCGACGTTGTGGAGGTTCTATGCGTTCAAAAAGACAATACAAAATAAAAACCGATAAAGAATCCATACAATGAAAGACTATTTCAACGGGGGGGGGGGGGGGAAAGGGGGTGTAAAGGTTCTGAAAGATATTTAACGCTGAGAGGGAAACAGGCAGACTTTCAATCCGGTTACAACATGTATTATTAGCATGTCAGCTCTTCTTTGTCTACTGAAGAAGAGGACGGAGCTCAGTAAGGTCAGTTCTTAATTTATTTATTCTTTTTTTTTTTTTTAAAGCAGACATTAGTACAAATATACATAGTGAGATACACATTACGTAGAGAGTATTATATTAGAATAAATATGTAATATTCTGTGACTTGAGATCTTTTATATTGGGTCAAACAATATAATAAATGAGCGAAACATATTTTCTACCACGAACAGACCACTGATGCCCTGACATGACAAAATCCCACTCTAAATAAGAAAAGAACATGGCACATCCTAGATATCCAGCTCAACTTGACGAAGAAATTCTAATTACAACTCCCGTAAAGACCATCCCAGCCCTGTGCACTCCTGCGCATACGTGTAAGGAACTACAGACACCTAAAGTCACAAACTGGAAAGTAAAGGCTAATGACAGACATGGTGGAGTTGCCTGGTATTTGCACCATCACAGAGATCGGTGAAGGCGACTGTTATCTGAAACAGTGAATCCTAAGGGCTCGGAACAATGACGAAGCAGATTGTGAGACAATTTTTAAGAAGACTGACAGCAGGAAGCTTTCAGAATCGACGAGCACAGTCTAAATCAAAGAACAGCGTAACCGACAAAAACCACAGTCAACCGTTACATATGTTGACTTAGAAATGGAAAGATATTTTTAATGCTATAAAATGCCACAATTATTTAATTACAGTGAAAACGTTAAAAAAAAAAAAAAAAAGGTTGAAAAAGCAATAAACATTTCGATAGCTGCTAGTAAAGAAAGGACTATTTTTCACGCCTTCACACGTATTAGGCATATAGGGCTAGACCTATATTTTATAGACTAATCTGCACTCGGTGGGTTATGTGGTCAAAACACGCTGGTCGCATTTACTTGTCAAGATTACACTGAGAGCTGTAACATCCAGTAAAAGCTAAAGTCATCCAGTAATGTATTCAAACATCTAAGTTGCAACATAATCCCTGTCTTTCTGCTGAACGCACCCACAATGGAGGAACTTGTCCCGTGACCTCCTGACCTCGATCTCCTTCCGGATGTCGTAGACAGACTTGCGCAGTGTGCGGATGAAGGCGATGTACATGCAGAGGAAGACCAGAAGGATGAGGAGGAAGAGCGAGCAGGTTACAGGGTTGACGTAGACGAACGGGCCCATGTCGTAGGCTGGTGGGGCTGCTGGTGGGTGGGCTGGCTGGTAGGCCTCCGTCTGACTGTCACCTGGGAAAGGTTACAGAACGTCTACACTACATGGGGACATAAATACGACATCTATTTAGCTGGGAACATATAAAGAAAATCTTCACAACCAGGGAACAGATAAAGAACAATTCCACAACCAGGGAACAGATATAAAACATCTCCACAACCAGGGAATAGATATAGAACATCTCCACAACCAGGGAATAGATATAGAACATCTCCACAACCAGGGAACAAATATAGAACATCTCCACAACCAGGGAATAGATATAGAATATCTGCGCAACCAGGGAACAGATATAGAACATCTCCACAACCAGGGAATAGATATAGAACATCCCCACAACCAGGGAACAGATAAAGAACATCTCCACAATCAGGGAACAGATATAGAACATCTCCACAACCAGGGAACAGATATAGAACATCTCCACAACCAGGGAACAGATATAGAACATCTCCACAACCAGGGAATAGATATAGAACATATCCACAACCAGGAAATAGATATCGAAATCTCCACAACTAGAGAATAGATATAGAACATCTCCACAACCAGGGAATAGAAATAGAACATGTCCACAACCAGGGAATAGATATAGAACATCTCCACAACCAGGGAATTTATATAGAACATCTCTACAACCAGGGAACAGATATAGAACATCTCCACAACCAGGGAACAGATATAGAACATCTCCACAACCAGGGAATAGATATAGAACATCTCCACAACCAGGGAACAGATATAGAACATCTCCACAACCAGGGAACAGATATAGAACAGCTCCACAACCAGGGAACAGATATAGAACATCTCCACAACCAGGAATAGATATAGAACATCTCCACAACCAGGGAATAGATATTGAATCTACTCAACCTAGGAATCATATAAAGAACATATTCAAAATCAGATATGTTTAATCTACTCAACCTAAGAACTACGACTAGGAAACATCTATTAACGTTGCTCTCAGGGACCCACTCCCCCCACCCTGCTGTCAGAGACCCTTCCCCCCCCCCACCATGCTGTCAGGGACCCATCTCTCCCTCCCCCACCCTGCTGTCAGAGACCCCCTTCCCCCCCACCCTGCTGTCAGGGACCCCCTTCCCCCTTCCCCCACCCTGCTCTCAGGAACCCACCCCTCCCTTACCCACCCTCCTGTCAGGGACCCCCTTTCCCCCAACCTGCTGTCAGGGACCCCCTCCCCCCCCCCCACCCTGCTGTCAGGAGCCCACCCCTCCCCCACCCTGCTGTCAGAGACCCCTTTCCCCCAATCATTTTTTTAACACACATCCACAAACGTGCAAGGACAGAGATGTTATAATTCCTATCGTTAGAAGTGCCCCCCCCCCCCTCACCCCCCCCCCTTACCAATCGTTTTTGTTTACACAATGTTATTATTCCTATCGTAAGAATAAAAAACAAACATATATGAAATGTTGCAATTGATATCAACGGAAATAAAAAAACGTCTGGAAAAAAATATTACAATGCTTTGATAGGAGCTCCCCCCAAAAAAACGCGTATATGAAGGAAATGTTACTATGCTATCATGTGAAAAAAAAAATTTGTTTAAGTACATTGAATGAATCAGGAACTTATTGCAAACTACTGTAGAGGTTTAATTATTGCATTTCCTTAAAAACACACACACTGGTTGCATGTAGTCAGCATGTTTACCTAAATCGGCTAAAGGATTAGTCTTCCTCTTCTGTGTTTGCTCTTGAAAGGATAGTTGTGGTTTACAGCTTGGCTGTGCTATTTGTGCCTTAAGGTTCAGCACCCCTAATTAGCTGCCCTTAAGACATACTAGTTGGGAAAGGGGGGAGGGGGTGGCGGGGGCAGTGGGCCTTATATTTCCAACACCAGAAATGGGCCCCTAAGCCCAGACGGGGAAGCCGAATATTAAATCAGAGGAGTTCAGAAATTTGTAATTGGTTTTCATTTTTATTTCACATTTTCACATGGAAAGAGGGAGTGTGGCAATCAGTAAGAGACGAATAAAAAAGAAAGAACGAACGAAAGAAAGATAGAGAGAGAGTGGGGGTGGATAGAGAGAGAGAGAGAGAGAGAGAGAGAGAGAGAGAGAGAGAGAGAGAGAGAGAGAGAGAGAGAGAGAGAGGATACCTTTGGCGGAAATACTCGGTAGAACTCGGATTGTTCTCGTTGTGGTGTGTGTCTGCTCGTCTCTGACACCTGGTGTGTCTCGTCGCCGCCTTCCCTGCTGCCGGCATCCCTGTGAAATACAGTCGTACTAGTTATGAAATTATTCACTTTAGCCAGACATGTATGCAACTGTCACGTCAGCTAGATCACGATGTTAGTGTCACGTTAGTTAAATCACCCTTCAACACACACGCCACCACATAATCACGCTAGTGTAACTATAGTTTCATCCTAAATTTACTGTCCACTAGAAGTTACGTTACTGTCGTTTCAAAAACATCAGTGAAAGTTCTGCCAGCTATTTCGTCACGTTATTGTCACGCCAGCCAGATCATCACATTGCTAGCATGTGCTATTGATGTCACATTAGTTACAAGTCACGCCCTCAAAATCATTCAGCTTCAACCATATCAGCTATACCGTCACTATACCGTCTTGTTAATTATCATTTTACTGTCGTGCCAACTAGATTATCATGCTACCATCGTACTGGCTAGATCGTGACGCTGCTGTCACGTCAGTTTGATTACTGCTTTAATCTTACTTCAGCACGATGGTCGCTTTACTGTCCTATCAGCCAAACGACCACGCTATTGTCACGTCAGCTAGATAATCCCGTTGCCGTTACATAAGCTAGATCAGCACAATATGGTCACGCTAGCTAGATCGTCACACCAGTGTCACGCCAGCAAGGTGATCACGTTAGACTCAAATCCATTAGAAAGTCACGTTACTACTAACCAAACAAATTAAATATTTTGACGGAAATCAAAGCAATGTTTCCCCTCTTTCGCATTGAAGAAAGTTGCTACATTACTGTCATATGTGCAGCTGACAAACTTATTGGGCAAAAAATTAATCTCATATTCAAGAAAGTTGCTATATTATTGGCACATGTGCAAATTTACAACATTAATCCGGCAAAACTAATCTCGCGTTGTAGCAAGGTGTTACATTAATGGAAAACGTGCAGTCTCGCGTTGTAGCTTGGGGCTATATTAGTGGTATATATGCAATTTTACAATATTAATCCGGCAAAACGAATCTCGCGTTGAAAAAAGTTGCTACATTGTTGTCATATGTGCAGCTTACATACTTAATCGGCAAAAAAATAAATTTTATATTCAAGAAAGTTGCTATAATATTGACTTATGTGCAACTTTACAATCTTAATCAGGCAAAAACTAATCTTGCATTGGAAAAAAAAAAGTTGCTTTTTTTAATTGCATCTGTACAACTTTAGAATCTTAGTCAAGCACAAACTAATCTCGCGTTCAAGAAAGCTGCAACATGAGTGACGTAAGTGCAGTTTCACAATCTTCGTCATCTGAAAACTTTTCTTGCGTGTTAGATAAAACTGCTAAATTAGTGACAAAGGTTCAATATCACAGACATCAGGCCATAAAAACTTATCTCGTGTTAAAGAAACTGCTACATCAGATGACATCTTTACAAACTTAGCTTAAAAAACGTTAATCTATATTGAAGAAATCTGCAACAATTGAAGACAAACTTACAACTGTACAATTGAAAGTGAAGCAAAGGTCAAACGAACATCGGAAGGTCACAGATGTCTCGCCTTCAAAGGTGAACAGCTTGAAAAAGGGAGTCTTGATTTTTGTCGTCTCAGTGGCAAGGAAAGACTTGACAGACGAAGCAGAGACCTGACACCTGGGGATAAATACAGTTAAGTTCATCTAGGAAAAACAGTGGCATCATGATTTTTTTTTTTTTTTTGTTTAAACTAAAATCAAATAATGGCAGTTCCAACAACAGAGCAAACGGGTCCCGTACTATTGAAAACCTCACAGAATACACATCACTGTCCCTTAAGTGGAGAAAAAATGTACCCTGATTTCAGTCCCAGCATACACACGCATTAAATTCATAAGGCAGCTGCCAGAAGTACTAACACAAACAGTCCAGCGCTAGAATCATTAACACAAAACCCTTAATCAGTAGTTGCACATGCAAATAATAGCATAAGGCACTGCCAGTTCTGTAGCAATAGGCCACTCGATGTATATAAATCTGTAGTTCAAAACTTAAACCAAGCTTGTCAGAGACGACAAGTATTCTAAACAAAATCTTCGAGCCTTGAGTGGGTACCGGGTGGAGTACCGGAAAGAAAAGGCGGCCGGCGTGATGCTGACCACATCATCCATCTTGTGCTGATTGGTTTATTAAAAAATGTAGGTCTAGCCCTATATGCCCTATACGCCTAAAGGCGTGGAAAAAGGTCCTTTACATTATAAAACATTGGTGTTCTTGCAGTTAGGTTCTAGTTGACTCTATAAGCATACGGACTTTTAGTGGCTTTTGAGGAATGAGAAGAAACATGCCTGGGATGTAGTTGAAAGACATTTTTAAAAGGAGACAAGTTAAATATTTCGACCGCTTTAAAAGACAGAACATTAAAAAGAAGAAAAAAACCTACTGTGTAACAGTGCAAGGCAAGCAAGCAAGAGATAAACAGTGATACAATAGGCAGGACAGCGTCATGAAGTGGACGAACAGCATTTTCCGAGCATGTATACATGAAACGAGTGACAGAGAGTGTACAATGCGTTTCAAAACTCATGCTGTCACTTGTCAACGAATATTTCCAAAACTCCTGTGTGGATCCACATGAATTTTTTGCATGAGGCCTTAGATTCTCCACGTCCTTTTCATTTTATAATTTACATTTGCACGGGATCTGTTGTTTTCTTAAAAACAGCTGTTTGACTGACAATTTGTGTACCCATAATAAATAGAATAGTCAGTAACTGGAAATCAGTTCACATGTGCAGCGGTGCGTGAGGATTATCTTGATAGCCTATTGGGCATACAAAGAAAAGTTGTGTTCATTTAACAACTCTTAGTAAGTAACTGCTGTAGATGACCACTCGAGAGTGAAGTACCCATAAAACGCATGCAGTTTGATGTTTTAAACAGATGCAATTACTAATGTAATCATGCTGATTGTTTGTTTTGAATCTGTTTTTTTTTTTTTTTTTTTTTTTTAATACCGCAAATACGGCAAATTAAAAAGTTAGTTTACATTTTTTTTAAACTGTCAATAAGTACATTACTATTAACAGGCTGCATACCAAATTTCGACTAAACAGTCACGTAGTCATATATTTTTAAAGTTCGACATGATTTCTGAAACGGACTATGGATATCTATTGCAACAAGTCTTCTTCTGACATAACTAATTGTTTCTTGCTTCGAACACAGGGAAACGTAAAAAATGATCATAAAAAGACGCAGATCTTACCCGTTTTCATCCAGTAGATGTTTGACGTGTTTCCCATCTGAGGACGATGCTACACAATTGTAGGGTAGGATTCCCTTTAGCAGGGAGCCTGAAATAAAGATGCTTACATTATAAGCTCGCTGTTTATGAACCACTCTCATAATGCCTTTGTGAAAGGGCCATTTAGTAGTAGGCGAAAGTTCTTAAGCACAAACTGGTCATCACTGTATGAAGCGAATGATACAGCGGGGAGTGACCAGGTAGCGAGGAGTGACCAGGTAGCGAGGAGTGACCGGGTAGCGAGGAGTGACCAGGTAGCGAGGAGTGACCAGGTAGCGAGGAGTGACCGGGCAGCGAGGAGTGACCAGGTAGCGAGGAGTGACCGGGTAGTGAGGAGTGACCGGGTAGTGAGGAGTGACCGGGCAGTGAGGAGTGACCAGGTAGCGAGGAGTGACCAGGTAGTGAGGAGTGACCGGGCAGTGAGGAGTGACCAGGCAGCGAGGAGTGACCAAGCAGCGAGGCGTGACCAAGCAGCGAGGAATGACCGGGCAGCGAGGAGTGACCAGACAGCGAGGAGTGACCAGACAGCGAGAAGTGACCAAGCAGCGAGGCGTGACCAGACAGCGAGGAGTGACCAGACAGCGAGGAGTGACCAGACAGCGAGGAGTGACCGGGCAGCGAGGAGTGACCAGACAGCGAGGAGTGACCAAGCAGCGAGGAGTGACCAGACAGCGAGGAGTGACCAGACAGCGAGGAGTGACCAGACAGCGAGGAGTGACCGGGCAGCGAGGAGTAACCAGACAGCGAGGAGTGAACAGGCAGCGAGGCGTGACCAGGCAGCGAGGAGTGACCAGGCAGCGAGGCGTGACCAAGCAGCGAGGAGTGACCAGGCAGCGAGGAGTGACCAAGCAGCGAGGAGTGACCGGGCAGCGAGGAGTGACCAGACAGCGAGGAGTGACCAGGCAGCGAGGCGTGACCAAGTAGCGAGGAGTGACCAGGCAGCGAGGCGTGACCAAGTAGCGAGGAGTGACCGAGGCAGCGAGGCGTGACCAAGTAGCGAGGAGTGACCAGGCAGCGAGGCGTGACCAAGTAGCGAGGAGTGACCAGACAGCGAGGCGTGACCAAATAGCGAGGAGTGACCAGGCAGCGAGGCGTGACCAAGTAGCGAGGAGTGACCAGACAGCGAGGCGTGACCAAGTAGCGAGATGTGACCAGGCAGCGAGAAGTGACCAAGTAGCGAGGAGTGACCAGACAGCGAGGAGTGACCAGACAGCGAGGAGTGACCAGACAGCGAGGAGTGACCGGACAGCGAGGAGTGACCAGGGGATCTGGTCGACGCTCAACAGTCCGGAGGATGCGGGAGGTGGGGTAGGGGGTGGGGTGACATACAGTCAGTCTGCTAATGGTACACTGGAAATGGAACTCTGCGCTTGCTGCTGAAGATAGGGACATAGTGCTTATGGGAATGCCCTGAGTGATATGATGTCGGTTCCTTTCCAATAATTCATAACTAAAAGCAAATCATAATGTCTTTGAGGCGGTTATGATGGCATTTAAATTGAAGGGTCTGCAGAGCTTTTCTAAAGTGATCAAGCCCTTCTTCGACGATGCTCGGAGATCTAGTGGACCAAACTTCACCAGCTAAAAGTTTCTCAACAGTTTAAACTGCAGCTGGAACGATCTCAATCGAATGTAACCCAGAACATACTAAATAGACTACTACGCAAAATAGTCCAAAAAGACTGCTACCAAAAATAGACTGCTGACAATAGAGCATATAATCTGCTACCCGCAATAGACCAAATAGATGGCTACCCAGAAAAGAAAATGTAGATAATTACCTAGAATAGACAAAACAGACAGCTTTCCACAAAAGACTGATTAGACCAGTACCAATAAAGTACCGAATAGATCGGTTCCCAGACAAAAGTGAACAGACTGCTGACTAAAATAGACCGAATAGACCGCTTTTAGAATGAACTAAATATACCCTACTTGCAACAGACCGAATGAAACTACCAAAATAGACTAAATTGACAATTAGCAGAATAAACTAAATAGATTGCTACTCAAAACTGACAAAATAGACCGCTACTCAGCATTAACCAAATTGCATCCTACAATAGACCTGAATATAGACCTCGACCAAGTTAACATGTAAAATGAGACAACAAAGTAACGAACAATTTTCCACGCTTTCGGTCGTATGGAGCATTTAGAGCTAGAGCTGTATTTTGTAGACCAGTCGGCACTTGATGGGTGATGTGGCCAGCCTCACGCCGGCCGCTTTCACTTCCCACGACTTTACAAGGTACCCATTTAAGGCTGAGCAGAGCTGAAAACCAAAGCCGAGTGAGAAAACCAACTCACAAATGACAAAAATTATATTGTGGCAGATTCAGAGTTGGATGATACAAGTTGTAGACACTTCTCTGAGACTGTCCTTATGGTGTGTGAGTGTATGTTTTTTATGTGTACGCGCTCTCGTGCGTGCGTGCGTGTGTGCATCTGTGTGCGTATCTGTATGTGGGAGAAGAATGGCTAACCTATTACTTTCGCAATGCCGCCGACACACAAGTCTGTAAGTCATGTCCATAACGAGCTTTATGCCGTGCTTGCAGGGGCCTATTCATTTTTTGCCCAATGGAAACAGGGCCCAGGAAGCCACATGGGGAGACAGTATCTTTCACAGACTGTTCTACTTTTTCCCCTCCAGTGGGGTATAAAATTATTAGTTCTTTAATGTTTTCCACGCAGTATTTCATCTGTCATTATCAGCCACTTTCACCGTTAAGCGTGGTGGGGAGGAATAATTTGCGATCCAGTGCAAACTGGCCGGCACTGGCCACTGTCACGCCCTAGAGGCGTAAAGTGTGTTTAATGTTGTCCTTCCAAATTTTTCGTGGTCGTCCTCCTCCTCTTGTAACTGATCTTATGAGATGTAGTGCCTATGGAGGTATTTGATGCTGCTGGGGGACGGAATGAGAATGAAGGAAAAAGTGACTGCAGAAAGGATGAGAGCTGAGCGTCTGAAACGAAGTGCGCTAGATGCACTTAAATGCCAGCACGGGGACTGAAATCCCATGCTTTGATTGTGGCAGATTTTTCTTGACCATGGCGGGTCTTGCTAGTCACAACTGCCATCGAAATGGGCTGTAAGTCCCATGCCTCGTCATAACACCATGTAACACTATCATCTGGAAAGACGAAAAGTAGCTGACTTCAATGGCAAATACATACAATGATATATCTGAAATAAAATGATACGAATAAGCATAAACTTTCAAAATCGAACTTCTAAACATAGAAAAGACGGCGGGAACAGAATAAATGAGTTGGGTGTGATTTGATAATGGGGTTACACACTGCTTAGAAATAACAGGCATGCATTGAAGATGACCAACGTTCCTTGTCACAGACCTTGTTGTAGAGCGTACTGAATCTCTAGCATGACCCCACTACCAATGGCAGCCTCGCTGACTGACTCTCCCGAGGACGCTTTGATCACGCGAAGAAGGACGTCATCGTGGGTAGATTCCGGGATAATTGACATCTCCTGAATTTGATTGCCTTCTCTGTAGACAACGATGAAGATGTGAGTCGGTTATACTAGTGGTTTTTTATTGAAACTGTGAAAGGATGATGATGATGAGGAGGAGGAGGAAGAGGAGGACGTGCAGCAGCAGAAGAAAATGACGACGGCGACAAAGAAATGAAGAAGAAGAAGAAGAAGAAGAAGAAGAAGAAGAAGAAGAAGAAGAAGAAGAAGAAGAAGAAGAAGAAGAAGAAGAAGAAGAAGAAAAGAAGAAGAAGAAGAAGAAGAAGAAGAAGAAGAAGAAGAAGAAGAAGAAGAAGAAGAAGAAGAAGAAGAAGAAGAAGAAGAAGAAGAAGAAGAAGAAGAAGAAGAAGAAGAAGAAGAAGAAGAAGAAGAAGAAGAAGAAGAAGAAGAAGAAGAAGAAGAAGAAGAAGAAGAAGATGATGATGATGAAGAAGAAGAAAAAGAAGAAGAAGAAGAAGAAGAAGAAGAAGAAGAAGAAGAAGAAGAAGAAGAAGAAGAAGAAGAAGAAGAAGAAGAAGAAGAAGAAGAAGAAGAAGAAGAAGAAGAAGAAGAAGAAGAAGAAAAAGAAGAAGAAGGAGGAGGAGGAGGAGAGAAAAAAGAAAGAAACAAACAAACAAACAAACAAACAAACAAACAATATAGAAATGTTATGTCAGTAAGACAAGCACTGCTGATATTAATAATAAGACTAGCGATAATGATGACAATGATAATGATGACAAGGAACACTGTCAAGTGTAAGCTACTTTCACATGCGGGTAGCGCTGTCTTCACAGCTGACAACCAACAGGAGGATGGCAACAACTTGACACGCAATCAAGCCTGCAAAGACAACAAATTTTGCACACGTCGAGATTGGAAGAGCCACCATAATTTTCCTGGGTGATGGTAGAGAGGCAGTATTCAAGAAGTGCATCGCCACAAGGAGATCAGGAAGGTAGAGGAAATGTGGTGTGTGGCTGACATGACAGTGTGTGGCCAAGCCTTGTCTACTCAGAGTACAGTGTACAGCCGTGATAATAATGGTTCTGTCCAACACTCAACGAACTAGGTCAGGGGTGAATCACTGACGTTAAAACGATTGCGTGAGCAGGGAGTAAGGCTTGGTAAAACATGTCTACGCCGTCTTTGAGGTCAAGACAACAGATGCTATAAACTTCTTATGGGACCGATAAGCATAGATGCTTTGGAGATGCTGCTGCATAGGAGGATTTAGCAGGCACGGGAATGCCCAATGTGCAGGGGTGTAGATTGTGATATCAAAACATGTTCAGAATTCTTTAAGTCTTACAGGAGTGAATATATGGTTTCGACATATTTCTAACATAACAGCAGTAACAACAACAATAGTAGAACAAATAGTAACAACCGTTTTAGTTTTCCGGAGGGGCAGATGAAGCGGGCAGAACTTGTGTTTATTAAAGTAAGATGAGACTGGAGCAGACGATGATGTGATGAGGATGATATGACAGCACTATAAACAACAATACAGACACTACAAACAAACAAACAAAAACACACACAGACGCACCCTCCTGTAGAATATTCCCCAGATCGGGCCAGGTTATCGGCAAAACTGAAATCACAAGTGACATTGATCTTGACATCCAAATCCTGGAGAACCTCATCAACTTCCTTTAAGACAATGGCCCAGGTGAAGGTGTCTTCACCCAGTTGCTGCAATTAAATGCTCATGAACTTACAGGTGCCTTGTTATTGTTCACGAACTTAGAGGTGCCTTGTTATTGTTCATGAACTTACTATCTTGTAAATAGGACGGGCATGTAAGACTCAAGTTCTGGAATAAGACTAAAGTCCAGAAGTGTGCGAACAACCCGACCGTTCCGTGGAATTTTACAGTTAACGAACGCTAAAAATAGGATGACTGTTGTGCACTTATAGATGCTGAAGAAAGAAGTGAGACACACGGACGACTAGTCACAGTCACTCTTTAAAGAGACCCTTTTGCACGCCTTTAACGCAACTAGCCTACAATGCCTGATCTGTATTGTTACAGACGAGTCTGTGTTTGATTGATGATGTCATCGGCATCACATCCAAATTACCACGAATTACCCTTTCACAGGGGTCACCTAAGACCATTGGGAAAACACATTCATTGAAGTTATCAGAGATAATAACTGTTTGGGGGTTTTGAGGGAACTGTATTAAAGGGTCGCCACAACATGAGGGGACTGTATTAAAGGGTCGCCACAACATGAGGGACCTGTATTAAAGGGTCAACACAACATTAGGGAACTGTATTGAAGGGTCGCCACAACATGAGGGAACTGTATTAAAGGGTCGACACAACATGAGGGAACTGTATTATAGGGTCGCCACAACCTGAGGGAACTGTATTAGAGTGTCGCCACAACATGAGGAAACTGTATTAAAAGGTGGCCACAACCATGAGGGAACTGTATTAAAGAGCCGCCACAACATGAGGAAACTGTATTAAAAGGTGGCCACAACATGAGGGAACTGTATTAAAGAGCCGCCACAACATGAGGGAACTGTATTAAAGGGTCGCCACAACATGAGGGAACTGTATTAAAGGGTCGCCACAACATGAGGGAACTGTATTAAAGGGTCGACACAACATGAGGGAACTGTATTATAGGGTCGCCACAACCTGAGGGAACTGTATTAGAGTGTCGCCACAACATGAGGAAACTGTATTAAAAGGTGGCCACAACATGAGGGAACTGTATTAAAGAGCCGCCACAACATGAGGGAACTGTATTAAAGGGTCGCCACAACATGAGGGAACTGTATTAAAGGGTCGCCACAACATGAGGGAACTGTATTAAAGGGTCGACACAACATGAGGGAACTGTATTAAAGGGTCGACACAAAATAGGGGAACTGTATTAAAGGGTCGCCACAACATGAGGGAACTGTATTATAGGGTCGCCACAACCTGAGGGAACTGTATTAAAGGGTCGACACAACATGAGGAACTGTATTAAAGGGTCGCCACAACATGAGGAAACTGTATTAAAAGGTGGCCACAACCATGAGGGAACTGTATTAAAGAGCCGCCACAACATGAGGGAACTGTATTAAAGGGTCGCCACAACATGAGGGAACTGTATTAAAGGGTGGCCACAACATGAGGGAACTGTATTAAAGGGTCGCCACAACATGAGGGAACTGTATTAAAGGGTCGACACAACATGAGGAACTGTATTAAAGGGTAGCCACAACATGAGGGAACTGTATAAAAGGGTCGACACAACCTGAGGGAACTGTATTATAGGGTCGCCACAACCTGAGGGAACTGTATTAAAGGGTAGCCACAACATGAGGGAACTGTATAAAAGGGTCGACACAACATGAGGGAACTGTATTATAGGGTCGCCACAACCTGAGGGAACTGTATTAAAGGGTCGACACAACATGAGGGAACTGTATTAAAGGGTCGACACAACCTGAGGGAACTGTATTAAAGGGTCGACACAACATGAGAGAACTGTATTAAAGGGTGGGGGCATTGCAAAAGGTGAGAACCCCTGTACTAGAAAATTAAAATACTTCAGCTTTAGTTACCATTTGAGGACTTGAACCGTTTGTCTCTAAATTCCCTTATTCTTTGCGTCCACCGGCAGGTAACTCCAGCATAAATCTTTAGTTGTTCGTCCACTTTTAGACTGTAGTCCTATTTCAGAAATTGAGTGTTGTGTGCACTTCTATTTTACAGAAATGGCTCATTTTTATGCAGACTGTTGGTTCCCCCCTCTCAGGTACAAGCCCTGTGACTTTGAAGGAAACCTCTAACCAGTGATTGTGTGTGTGAAAGTAATGGGTATATTCTGGTTTTCCCCCCAAATAGGGCTCTGGAACACACACTGGGATATCTTTAATGACGACGTCGTCTTGCCGCAGGAATAAGTGTACAAGATAAAACCAATCAGACGCCGCTACGTGAAGATGCCATGTTCAGCTTCATCTCTCACACCAGAGCTCAGTATGGCCTCAAAGGTTCTTCTGGATTTGTTGATGATCTGGACTTGACTGATGACACTGTACATTGATTTGATCCCACTTATAGAAGTAGTTTTAAAAAATACTTGATAAGAGACACACACAAAAGTAATTCAGACTTGTTAAAAAATGATTTATATATATAAAGTTAGTTGCGTATCCTCTACAGGACGTTGCAGGACCAACCCCAGCATTTTGTGTCTGTTTTGGTTTTTCTAGGCAAATTTTACGTTCAGTAATAAGCCATTACTCTCTTGCTGACTGAACGGTCAGCTCTAGGTACCACTGTCGAAACAAACGCGAGACACACTGTCCGCAGCTGAGATGGAACCCGGCACCCTGTCATTACGAAGCTCGTTTATATATATGTATTTACATCTAATTCCGAAAATTATATTTTAAATAATAGTGTATGTGTAAGCAGATACTGTACTTAAACACAGAACGTCTATAAAACGTAAGGGGAGAGGGGGAGAGATACCTCAGTACCCTTAACACTCCACGCCCCTGTACACCTTAAAAAGGACAAACTAAAGTATACCAACCTGTCCGGCGCATTCTCCACTGGACATTTGTGCAATAGTGGCGTTGTTGACAGGGATTCTGATGGTGGTCAGGTCAGAGCTGCCACTGTTGATGACTGTAGACTCACACCAGTCGCCCCTGACCTTGTTTGACG